CTTTCTTTCTTTCTTTCTTTCACTTTTCTTTTTCTGTGCTTTTTTATCTTGTAGTAATGCTCAACCGTAACAACAACAGTTTGTTTTTGATAAAGATCATTAAAAAAAATAAATAATTTTAAAAATGTGCACGTTTTGCTGACGCAGTGACGGCGGACCCTCTTCCGGGTCACGCGCGGTGAGCCGGAAGTGATCGTGCGCGGACACGCTTCGTGCAGTGGTACTCCCGGCGGCTCTGTAAGGCGCTGACGGAGAAGAACCACCAGAGGAGGACGGTTTCATTAAGGTAGGATCTCATTCTTCTTCTCCCCTCTGAGCTCTGTCTGTGAACTGCAAACGGGGCTGAGGCTTGCTGAGTTTTTTTGCGTGAGGCTTAAGTTGCTGTGGAGCTCGCGGAGCCGCGGGCAGGTAGCCTCACCGGGCCGTCATAAACCGGGGAACAACCTCCCTCGGCTCCATCCGCTCCCCCGCACCGTCACAGCCGATCTAATTAAACACCTTCGGGTGAAGTCGGCGGGGTTTGGTTGAGTTTCAACCATGCGAGGAGCGCCCTCCGCCCGCCCGCGAGTTCAGCGGCTAGCAGGCTAGCTGGCGTTAGCAGCTAGTTTGTTCCGATGTGAAGGTGTTAGCTCGGAGCTAACTGACGAAGGTGGGCTTCATCCAGGAGCTGCGACATGGAGATATCCGCCTGGGGCTCAGGTGTTCGGTAGAGATGAGACCGTGTGCTGTGGGTGGTGTTTCGGTGTAAACATGGAGGCTGGAGTATTGGCCCCGTGTTGCATCACCCTCGGTCTCCGTCGTCCACAAACGCCACCCGAGCTGTCACTGCGGGCAAGAGCACTGCCAGCTCACCTGGACTGACTATCAGCTGGACACCTATTTACCTGTCATAGTACATAGCCAACGTAATTCAGTCTGTAATTTTGATTAAATCTGTTTTTATAAGAACGCTGGACAAATTCTCTAAATTGGGCCAAAAGTGAATGGAGTCTGGTAGAGAAATGCCCGTTTTCTACAGCAGATTACCCATGTGTTATTACTGTACAGCAGTGTACACCTACTCGACCACGTACTTGGTGAATTAAAAAAAAAAAACGAAGCTAATAAGGTTAAGAAGAGCATCCAAACCTTTCTTTATTGAAATATAATAAAAAGTGAATGGAGTTTGGTAGAGAGGCGCCCTGTTTATCCAGCTGTGTTAATAATCAACTTAATCATCCCACCCTTGCTCACATGTTTCACTGAAACTACAACCTAGATCTGATGTGTTTATCATCACTACAGTGCAGAATCAAATTTCCACTAATCTGATAAAAAGGGAATGGCCTTTGGAAAGAGCCACATCTCTGGAGCCTTTCTTTTTGAGTTATTACTTTTATCTGACAACATCAGTCACATACTTTGAGTCTTTTATTCATTACATTTGTATTTACAAACAGCAACAACAAGTCTTAAGTACACAAAGGAAAGAACAACGGACAAGATTAAGAAAAGGGATAGAAATAAGCAAGAAGAGGCAGAAAAGGGAGAGGAAGAGTTTTTAAAATGGAGGAATCAAGGGGAGAAGGAAGGAAGTAGGATATGAATGAGGGAATATAACTAAAGTAGGATGAAGGAAAGGAAGGACAAATTAAAATAAATAAAACTTTTTTTTAAATGGAGTCCATTCACTTTTTATTTAATGGAGTCTGTATGTTTTCCTGGGATTTCTGATTATTCACTAAAAATAAGTCTCTTGTTCTTCTTTAACTGTAACCTTAATAACTCTAAAGCTGATCGTGTTTCTTTGGCTTCTGCTGAAACAGTTTACCTGAACAAATGACACCTGAAACCTGTAACTGCCCTTAAATCATCTAATTAATCTGCTTCAATCTCACTAACCTGTGCTGTGACAATCGTCTCTTTCCTTGCTGCAGATGAGAGAGTTCTGGCCGGCAGCAGCAGAGAGGAGTGAACTGGCCTTGGAGGAAAGCTAACCCACGAATGGCCTGCCAGTCTGTCGCTGTAGTCATGGACGAGCAGGCCCTGTTGGGGCTCAACCCGAACGCCGATGCCCGCTACAGGCAGAGGGTGAGGCACTACCACACATCCAAAACAGTCACAAAAATCAAGCAGGATGGGTTTACAGATGCATGAGTTGAAAATGGTTCAAAGATGACACGTCAGGAGCTGAAAGTAGTAAATCTTACTCAATGTCACGGGTACTTTAACAGAAGTAACGCAGCAAAAATGAGGTTAATCAGTGGAGTGAAGGAAGAGTCTGGGTACTGAAGCTTCAGGTTGTTCAGAGGATCTGGAGGAATAATCACGAGATCAGGTTTAAATCTCTGCTAGAGAACGAGGATGCTCTGCACCATGAATGCATCCGGCCAGCCTGACAGATTATCTGCCACTTTCACTTCATCCTGCAGGTGTTTACAGGTCTTTTCTCACTGTGTTTGTGTTTGAGCTGGTACAAAACTGCATTCAGTCATACTTAAACACGCTGAAGACACTTCTGTTGCTCCGTTTCAAAGATGAGACACAAACCACACGGTGCAGAGCTTCCAGAAACACGACTTCTTAGTTAAAGACAGCGTTCAGGTGCTGAACTGGCCTGCTAAAAAAAACATCTGGAGCTCCATCAGCGTCCAATAGAAACAAGATAAGCAGAGCACACTCAGATCAAAACCTGACATCAGCACCAGTAAACCCTCTGCGGATGTAAAGGTGCAGGAGAGGAGGAGGTGTGAGAGCTGCTTGAGTAGAGCAATAGCTGGTGATGTCATTGATGTCGCCCTTCTGTGTATTTCCAGGCTATCGCTTACTTCGAGCAGCTGAAGGAGTCTCAGGACGCTTGGGAGGTTTGTGCTGAGGCTCTCGCCAAAGGGATTTACAGGTGAGTGCCCCGCCCACACACCACAGGTGTGTTAGAGTCGTACCTGCAGCTGTTAAATGCATTTCTGTGTTTCAGTGATGACCACGTCAAATTCTTCTGCTTCCAAGTCTTGGAGCATCAGATCAAGTTCAGGTGAGAAAGAAGCTTCTTCACACGTGATCACATGATGAGTATTACCTGCTGGAGCTGCTCTCACGTGTGTGTGTGTGTGTGTGTGTGTGTGTGTGTGTGTGTGTGTGTGTGTGTGTGTGTGTGTGTGTGTGTGTGTGTGTGTGTGTGTGTGTGTGCATTACAGACATTGCAGTTTGAGTGCTGTTCAGCAGCAGCTCATCAGAGAGACTCTAATGAAGTGGCTCCAGTTTCAGGTATGTCACGACTTTGTGCCAGTTTCAACATCACAGTAATTTTCACTGTTTTAGTGGTGCAGATTTGAGCCTCGCTCACATCTCCTCACAGACTCGCTGTCACGTCTTTCGTCTCTTCCTCTTCCCCGCAGCTGATGAACACTCAGCCCGAGAAGGCCTTCATCAGGAACAAGGCAGCACAGGTGTTCGCCCTCACCTTCGTCATGGAGTACATGACTCTGTGGCCCAAGTTCTTCTTCGACATCCTGTCCCTGGTGGGTCTGAACCCCCATGGAGTCGACATCTACCTGAGGACACTGATGGCCATCGACGCCGAGGTGGTGGACAGAGACATCCTGCACACGCCGGAGGTCAGAAAGCGGCTCATGATGGGAAAACTTTTGGTGGTGTTTTATATTTGTTGCTGAGTTAGAGAAGGAGAGCAGGCTGATGTGGGAGGAAGAAGCCTCTGCAGGAAAGGAAACCCGCAGAGCTCTGGCCCACACGTTACTCACAAAAACAGACTGGTTTCTAAGGAAGAGTGGTCACATGACCCAACAGGAAATGTGTCATAGGAAGCGTTTGTAGCTTTGGCGATGATTTCGCTGCATGTATTCCTGCAGGAGACTCGCAGGAACACGCTGATCAAAGACAGCATGAGGGAGCAGAGCATCCCCAGCCTGGTGGAGTCCTGGTTCCAGATCCTGCAGACGTACCAGCAGTCCCACCCCGAGCTCACCTGTCAGTGCTTGGAGGTGGTCGGAGCCTACGTGTCCTGGATCGACCTCAACCTCATCGCCAATGACAGGTCAGAACAAGCACGGGGAGAGGCGTCGTATACATGATTTCTGACCCTTGGCCATCACGTCTCACCTGTTTTTGTGTTTTCAGGTTCGTGAACCTGCTGCTGAGCCAGATGTCCATGGAGGAGCTGAGGGAGGAGGCCTGCGACTGCCTGTTTGAAATCGTCAACAAGGGAATGGATCCAGTGGACAAAACCAAGCTGGTAGAGTCTCTGTGCCAAGTGCTACAGTCAGCAGGCTTCTTCAACGTGGAGCAGGTTAGAGTTACCATGGATACAAGGAACACGCCCATCACAGCCACAGAGGCTCACGAGGGTCCTGAAAATGTCTGACAGTGACTTAAAGCACCGTTCTGCTGTTTTTATAAATATTTCCAGCTGTGACTTAAATGTAAACATGAAACATTTCCATCGTCCATCCATCATCGTTGTTCACAGCCTGTCCAGAGCTAATCAAAAGACACCAAGTGAAGAATAGCTGCTGTAGATCATCGTTTAACACAAGAATATTTTACTTAAAGGAAAAAAGCAGCAACACTGAGGCCTCAGTTCTACAAAAACTCAGTGTTTATGAAAGGAGGATTTGGTGTTTGTGGTCTGACAGCTGGTTCGTTAAACATGTATCAGTTTAAAAATTGATTTTGTTTTCTTAAGTTTGCAGCGCTGAACTGTTCCTGCAGAATGTGTTTCCGTTACAGCTTCATGTTTATGTTTCCTCTTCCTGTCCCCTTTAGGAGGAGGATGTGGACTTCCTGGCCAAGTTCTCACGGCTGGTGAACGGCATGGGTCAGAGTCTGGTGCTGAGCTGGACCAAGCTGGCGAAAACCGGCAACGTGAAGGACGCAGCGGAGACGCTGCAGGCCGTGGAGGCCAAAGTGCCTCTGCTGCTGCAGCTGCTGGTGCACGAGGATGACGACATCTCGGCAAACATCGTGGGCTTCTGCTACGAGTACCTGCACGTCCTCAAACAGGTGAGGCTTCTGAGGCCCGGGCAGCTTTTCTAACTTTTAGGAACAAGTTTAAAAGTGAGAACATGTTAAAAATTAGGGACCTTCGGGTCTCACAGCAGTGGTTTAAAATGTTCTGAGGTTGTTTTCTGTTCATAGCTTCCTCAGCTGACGGACCAGCAGAAAGCGAACATCGAGGTGAGGCTCTGAGCACGCTCAGTGCATTCTCACGTCTTTATCTGAGGGCAAATCATTAAAAAGTTTTCTCGCTGTCACCATAGGCCATCATGCTCGCTGTAATGAAAAAACTCACGTACGATGACGAGTACAACTTTGAGAACGAGGTGAGTTTCTGTTTCTTCCTCTGTGAGGGCGGGGCAGAGCGGCAGGCATTACACCTGCTGTTGTTGTTTCTCAGGGCGAGGACGAGGCGATGTTTGTGGAGTACAGGAAGCAGCTGAAGATGCTTTTGGATCGACTCGCTCAGGTTTCACCGGAGCTGCTGCTGGAAGCTGTCCGCCGCGTCTTCACCAACACGATGCAGTAAGAAATGTTTTGATTTGTTTAGAGAGGTGGGAAAAACGCAGCTGCCATGTTTCAGCTTTAATGTCTCCTCTTAGGAACTGGCAGACAGCACCCTTCATGGAGGTGGAGGTCGCCATCAGGCTGCTCTACATGCTGGGTGAGGCCTTACCGGCGGCGCATGGTGCCCACTTCTCTGGAGACACGGCCAAGACGAGCGCCCTGCAGGACATGATGAGGACGGTGAGTCACATGACTGCTCAGCTGTGGTTCGGCGTCTGTGCGGCAAAATTTTAAACGCGTTTTCTTTTTGAACCCTTAGCTGGTTTCCTGCGGTGTCAGCAGCTACCAGCACACCTCCGTCGCTCTGGAGTTCTTTGAAACGGTTGTGCGATACGACAAGTTCTTTATCGTGGAGCCACAGCACATTCCTGGCGTGCTGATGGCGTTCCTGGACCAGCGAGGCTTGAGACACAACAGCCCGAAGGTCCGCAGCAGGGTGGCCTACCTGTTCTCCAGATTCATCAAAACCCTACAGTGAGTCCAGCTTCACTTGCTGCACAATATCACATGTTTTGCCATTGCCGTTGCCATTGGAAGCCATGTGATGCCGTTGATGCGGCAACAGGCTTCACAAGTGTGCGCTACACCAAGAATAACTCCACCACAACAAAATGTGATGTTTACACAGAAAACAGCAAAACTACAACCTGAGAAAATATTGTTTCATAAACTCTTTGAGCTGTACCAGCTTCTTTTTAACGTAATAAAACAGAAACTACAGCTGTCGTTTCGTTCACAGTAGCCATGGAAACACAAACTGTTAGATCAGATTTGTGAGTTTCTTGTGGTTGCCAGCAGGTAGATTAACGGCAGTGGTGAGTCCACACATCACAAACATTTGGGACGAGTTTTATTGTCGTGTGGACGACAGCGTCCGGAGGGGGACGCACTGAACATGTGCAAACTTTTGTATGTAAAACTACATGTCTAGCCATGTTTTTAAAAGATAATTTGTAATATTTAGTCTTTTGAAATCAGATGATTCTTTTTCTTTCTATATTACCACAAAGACAAAAAAGACATGAAACGTGTGAGCAAGTTGCCCTCTGACGCTGAACCTGTTCATAACTCAGGCTGGAGTCGGTTTCAGTGGTTTATGATGACGGTTTCGATCTGTCGGCTTTATCAGGTTTTGACCTCCAGCTTTCACTGGTGTGGCTCTCAGCTGTTTATTTATTAAGATTTCTAACCTCCGCTGTGGTCATGAGTAGAAAGAATGATGCTAAGGAACTTAGCCTCAATCTGGAAGGCAGAGTGAGGTGGATCTGACCAGGAGGCCCCCTCAGTGAGGCCTTAAGGCCCCGAGGCGTCTGCTCAGGCTGCTCCATGACAGAAATATAGAATGACACTAGGGCTGCCACGATTAGTCGACTAGTCACGATTACGTCGACTATCA